GTGTGTGTGTGTGTGTGTGTGTGTGTGTGTGTGTGTGTGTGTGTGAGAGAGAGAGAGAGAGAGAGAGAGAGAGAGAGAGAGAGAGAGAGAGATTTCTGAAGATGAAATCGTTGCTTGTTTGGCTGTCCTGGGAGTGGGAGTGGATTTTCTGCCTTTGGTTCTGGAATCGGGATCGCGATCTTTCCGCCGCCGGACCTTGTCAGCGGAAAGACGTCGCTGTTATTTCAGTTCTGTTACAATTGTGCTCGGGAGTCGGGATCGCGATCGCATGTCGTATTTATCTGTCAAAAGAAGAGGATTGAAAATGGTCCACCCTTACTGTCTCGGGTATGTCCTGCTGCATTCCTCCCCCCCCCTGGTCCCCCCCCCCCCCCCCCCCCCCCCCCCCCCCCCCCCCCCCCCCCCCCCCCCCCCCCCCCACCCCCCCTTCTCCCAACCCCACCCGGAGCATGGCTCCATGATTGTCGGGTTTTCCGCTTGGATCACTACAGACGGCGTAAGCTAGAAGCCTAAACGAATGATATCTCGTCCTCTTCTACCCCCTTTCTTCCCCTCCCCTCCCCTCCTCCTCTCCTCTCCGTCTCCTCTCCGTCTCCTCTCCCTCTCCTTTCCCTGTCCTCCCCTCTTCCCCTCCCCTCCCCGCCTCTCCCCGCCTCTCCCCTCTTCTCCACTCGCGTCTCTTCCCCTTCTCTCTCCGCCTTCCCTCTCCTCCGCGCCCTAACACCCCCCCCCCGCCTCCTCTCAGCTCCCGTCTTTTCCCCTCATTCCGTCTTTCTGCATAGTCCCAAACGCCAGATCCTACGGGAAGGTCCCTTTCTTTGTTTTTTTTTTTGGCCACATATGAACACGCTCATGAAGAACTTTGCAAGAAGTCAGGGCATACTCACACTGGGATCTCTTTTACGTATTTTTGGATGGAATTGCGGCCAGATACATCCAGGTGCGGCCATAAATATGGTCGTATACATTAAAGATCCTGCTCGCGTGAGTATGCCCTCAGAAGACTAACAAGATGACCAATAGTCCTTTGGGACATCCATTAACAAAACTGGAACAATATATGCTAATCTGCGGGGTTCTTTGTCTTACCGACAGCCTGCTCTGCCACGTCGACGGCGTTCGTCGTTTACGCGCAGACCCCGCCAGATCAGACCTGCCTTTCCGGTGGTGAAAGATTCGGATCTGCGGGTAGACATACCAAATATTTGTGGTTTGACAGCCACAAATGTCTGCCTACAGGCTTATCAGGGTCAATGTTATAGTGCATCCCAATTTCTTACGATTGCTTATCAGCTTGATGCTGTTGAAAATCAGTTGTTGTTTGACCATGATAGTCCACCTGCAGAAGGTAGTAACTATACTACCTCAGGAGGCTTTACTGTCAATGTCTTACAGTTAGCGTTTCACGATCACCACCTTCTTATGCATCCTGCGACGCCAGGCGATGACCTCAATAACCATCCTCATATTTCTGCCTGTATTTGACACAGAGCCGGGCATTATATGGCACTCATTCGTGCAGCTGTCCAGTGGGAACTGTGGGATGGTGGGACGATGAGTCAGGTCATTTTCGACGTGAATGAATTTTTGCGAGCGTTGTCGAATCATACTTTATTCTGGATTATTGACCGACTCTCGTGTGACACCTGTCGGGGCAGAGACGCGGTGCGTCTTGGTTGTGGCATTCATCATCTATGTCATCACCATTATCAATCTATTGCGACTACCGCTGTCTGTGCTGAAGGGTGTCGA